CTAGCTTCACCACCTCCGTTCACCCTAGAAAGCCTACCCTGTACTTGTCTTTTTTTTTTTTTAAAGATTTTATTTATTTATTTGAGAGAGAGAATGAGATAGAGAGAGAGCACGAGAGGGAAGAGGGTCAGAGGGAGAAGCAGACTCCCTGCTGAGCAGGGAGCCCGATGCGGGACTCGATCCCGGGACTCCAGGATCATGACCTGAGCCGAAGGCAGTCGCTTAACCGACTGAGCCACCCAGGCGCCCTATCCTGTACTTGTCTGCCCGGCTGCTTGAGGTCATTGCTCACCGGGTGGCTTGGGCAGCCTGCCTTCCTTCTTGAGCCTCAGTTTCCCATCTGTAGTATGGACATCACTGTTGCTGCCCCAGACACCCCCACTGTACCCCCAAAGTGTTCTGGGGGTCCCTAGGCAGCTGTGCCTGGCAAATCCCAGCGCTCCTCTGCATTACACTGCATTTACAGGACTTGGGGGTCATGTGGTCACCTGGCAGCCTGTGCATCCCATGTGGCCCAGTCAGGGTTGGGTAGCTTCAAGAGTCCTGGTGGGCTCCAGGCACGGTACCTGACCTCTCCAGCCCACACACTGGGAGCCCCTCACCTCTTTTGGAACACCCAGCCCGCTGCTTGTCATTCATCTCCCCTAGCTTGAGGAGGGCCTGAATTTGGTCCTTGATATCAGCTCAAGCCCTTTCCTGGAAGGCTCCTGATTTCCGTGGCTAATGTGAATAGCTGGCAGAGATGGGTAGCATCACCCTGGTCCTAACTCCCCGTGGTGGCAAATTGTTCCCTACTCCTGGCTGGGAGGGCCTTGCCAGTTCAGGGGGGCTGACATGAACCTCTGACCTCTGGGGAACAGTCATTCCCCACCAGGAACTCACCCAGCATGTAAAAGGATCTTGCACCTGCTTCAGGCTGCCTTGCCTTGACTTCTGCCACCCATGTGACCTCAGGGTAGTCTGTAAGCCCTGTGAGCCTCATGTATCATCATCTGTCTCATGGGAGGTGGGTGGTGCCAGCCCATTTCTGGGGAAGCCTGAGGTGCTTTTCCTGTAATTCCTGCCCCAGCTCTGCTCTCAGTCTGCCCAAGGCTCCCCATTGCCCTCTCCATAAAACTAACTGTCCTCCAGGCCCTGCCCACCTCCCAACCTCATCTTCCCTACCTTCTCTTCTAGTTGTCTTTCTAGCCACACCAGCTTCCCCCGCTAAGGCCTTTGCACATGCTGTCCTTACATGGAGCACCTTTCCCCCAGCCCTCCCCATGGCAGGCTCCTCCCTGGCACCAGGTTCTAGCTCACATGTTGCCTCCATGGGGAGATCCTCTTCTGTTCCCCTTCACTGGTGCTCTGGTCCCATCACCTCTTGTGCTGTGTCTCTGAGCTCTGAGCCTATCTAAAGTCGCCTTGCTTGTGTGCTTTTGTGTTTGTCCCCTACTGCCCGTCTGTTGCATGTAGGCAGGCTCCTGTCTCCCTGCTCTGCTCCAGCTTCCTGTAAATGTTTTTGAACATACACGTAAATAATAAAGGGGTGGTTTGGAGGGAAGGCTGAGTGCTCTGCTCCCCTTAGCTCCTGGCCAGCCTTCCTACAGCTGCAGGCTGCTCTGGGGAGGCAGGGCTGCAGCTTCTCAGTTCTTCCCACCTTAATCCAAAGAACGGGGCTTCGTCAGTGGGTGTGGCTCAGGGTCTGCTTGGAAATCCCCAGGTTTTGCGGGCATATCATTGAGGTTGGCCAAACCTGGGTTCCAGTCCCTGCTCTGCCACCTCAGGTGAACCTCAGCCTCCTCTCCTGAAAACAGATTAAGTGTATTGCTACACAGGGCCACAGCCCCCAGCAAGGCACACAGCCCCTCTCTGAGTGCTTGCCATCCTCGTTGATGACATGGAAACCAGGGCCGAGGAGAAAACCGCTGCAAGGGAGGGGCCAGCACATTCAGGCTTTGCCTCTATTGCTACGCAGCCTCTCTGAGTCTCTGGGAGGCTGCGTGAAACTGCCTTGAAACCAGCTGGGCTTGGTTGACCTCACTGTTGAATTAAGCAGGTATCCTTCCAGCCAGGGAAGGACCCAGGGTCCTGGCTTATGAACACATCTTTGAGAGGCAGGGCCTATGAACCCCATTTTCCAGACGAGAAATAGACTCGCCGGCCTTTGAGGGGCCACAGTGGGATGAGAACCCAGCTTGGCCTGCCTCCACGCCCCTCCTCTCTTGCCAGCGTTGCTAACCTGACCTTGGGCAAATGGCTCTCTGGCTTCTGTTGATTAAGCCCTGTCACTCTGCCCAGGCCTGGCTCATAGCCATCATGTCACATGATTCCAGGGATCCCTGAGAGGTAGAGGAGACTGGGGGGCAGAGAGACAGTGTCCTGCCCAGAGCCAGCCAGGCTGACTCGGAAGAGCTGGGATCCCAGGCACCCTGGCCAGGCACAGCTGAAGTGCCCACAGAGGGGGTGTCAGTTGCTGATGCCAAGGGGCATTACTGGCCATTGTTGGAAGGCAGCAGGGAGCTTGGCCGGCGCCAGCATGCTGACAAACAGACAGAAGCCAGAGCCCAGGCAGTGTCTTTGGCACCCTCAGGAGAGGCAGCCTGGTGTTGGGCTGCTGCCTGACCCTTGCCTCAGTTGGCACTGTCCCTAGGGGTACTGTGGGACCTTCCAGGAGCTTGCTGCCTCCCTCCCAGGGCCTGGCAGGTGGGTGCTGTGGGTAGGGACTTCTGTAGCATATCTCCCTCTCTGGGTGGCAAACCCCACCCATAGTTGGTCTATGTCCACATTCCATGAAGCGCTATTTACAGAAAGGGAAACAGGCCCCGAGAACAGTTTATCCATCACCAACACTCAGCAAGTGCTGGCTGTGGACCAGTGAAGTTGTGAGTGTTTTACTTCTATTCATCTCGTTAGTGCTGCCTTCAACCCTGGGAGGTAGTTGGAGAAACTGAGGCAAAGAACTTGAGTCCTTTGCTGAAGGTCTGGTGGCCAGCAAGTAAAAAACAGCAGAGATTCAAACCCAGCCTCCGGCCCTTTGAGCAAAGAACACTTACAGTATGAGGATCAGTTGTCTCATCGGCAGAGTAGGTGCTGTCCCCTCCCCCCACCGTCTGGAAATCAGGTCATGAGATGGTATTTGGCCCAGTAAGGACCTGATACCCATTAGGTGTTTAGCAGACCTCAGTGTCCTCCTCTTGTCCAGGGAGCAGAATGGAGACCAGGGCTTGGAAGTTGGCTGGGAAGCAGGGAGGTATGGGAGAGAGGCCCAGGTGGGAATATCATGGGAATATTGTCAGTCAGATGGTGGCCTCAGTCTAGTGACATCGACAGTGTGAGCCTCAGTGTTTTCCCTGTTCTCCATAGTCCTCCATACTGGGAGCTCTTCGAGATGTTGTGGATTAAGCACAGGGGGCTTGCCCAGCCCCGAAATGTGAACCCTTATTAAGGCCTAGCTTTGGTTTGCTCCCTCCCAGCATTCCCTGGTTCTGAACTTGATCTCCACCAACCCTAGCCAGCACCTAGAGGAAATAAGAGTCAGTATCTAGGAACATTTGTAACCCTCTCTGCGCTGGAGATTAAGAGAGTGCACTTGGTGAGTCAGAGAACTGGGTGGACTTGGGAGGAGTGCCAGTGACACAGCGGGGCACTGGATGGCAGGTGTCTTCTCTAAACTGCTGGCATCTGTCTACAAAGAATCCCATGAACTTCACCTCATGGAGAAGCTGAGGTTCACAGGCCAGATGGTCCTGCAGAGGGTCAAATGCTTTCACCAGAAGGTCAAGGCAAGGGCTAGGATATAAGTTCTCCTAGGGGAGCAGCCCGAAAGAGGAAAGATCAAGGTGTAGGGATCATTGTCCCTGAGGAAACCGATCCACAACCACCTTGCCCAAGGTTATGTAGTGGGCCAGTGGCTGGACATGGATTTGACCCAGATCGCTCAGGCCCCTGGTGGCTCTTCCCTGACACTGTCTTTTACCCCACTTCCAAAGAGCAGGCTGCTCTAAATTCACCTCCAGATTCAGCCACTTGAGGCGCTGTGGGTGAGGACCTAGACCTCTCTGCACTCTGGTTTCTGTAAAATATGGCCAGTGGTCGCTTTGACCTCATGAGATAGTGGTTAGTTTTCAGTTGATTCACAAAAGGCTTATCCGGGAGCAGGCCGGATGGGGATGTCACTGGATCCCATAAAGGAGAAAGCTCGAAATCAGAAAAGTCCAACACTTCCAGAAAGCCACAAAGCTCATGGGTAGGATTCCACCTGTTTCCACATCTTCACAACAAACTGGAGCTTCAGAGGACGAGCCTGAGTGACCTCAGAGAGTCTGCCTTCTCCGTGTCATTGGCAGGGAAATAGCGGGGAGTGAAGGAATGTAAAATTATCCAGGAGTCTTTCAGCTGCGGTGGCCCATGTTCACAGCCAGAGTTGGAGGTCCTGCTTCTACGCTGCGAGGTCCAAGGGCCAGCCTCTACGACACAGCACCAGGGTACCCCGCCCGGGGCGTCTGAGGCCACCTACGGCCGCCGCGCTCTCCTGCCTTGCCCGGAGGCACACCGCCGACGGCCCCTGCCACCGGCCGCAGGGCCTGCCCGTCTTCGGCGTCGCAGCCAATCCTCATCGCCCTCTAGGCTACGCCCTCCGTCTCGCGCGGGCCTCGCCTGCCACTTCGGAGCCCTGCCTTTCCCCCCTAGGGATTGGTCATCAGGGCTGCTCGTCTTCTGCCAGAGCTCCAATCCTCGTCTACCTCCCGGCCCTCACCTCCCAGCACCTCGCACCCTGTGGAACCACCTCTGGGACCAAAAACCTCACCCAATAGCCTGCCTCTACCCCTCAGTGATTGGCTCTAGGGGCTGCCCGTCTGTTTCATGCCAACCAATCCCTGTGTTTCCCAACGCCGATTGGCCAGCGTGCAACCAATCGGAGCGTGGCGTGAACCCCACCCGCAGCGCGCGCTGGGGGTGCGCGAGGCGGGGCCGTGGTGGCCCGAGGCGGCGGCGGCGGCGGCGGCGGTGGTGGTGAAGGCGACGCGTCCTAGCCGGTGAGGCGGAGCAGAGGGCGCGGGGTGGTGCAGGCGTCCGGGGTCCCGCGCCCCTCGGGCCGAGCCAGGGCGAGGCACGGTCTTGTCGTGGGTCCTGGGGCGGGGGCAGGCGAGGCAGGGCGTGACAGCAGTGTCGCAGGGGTAGGGAGAGGTTAAAGCCCTCCCGTACACCCCACGTCTGGTGTTCCTTGGAGACCCTCCCAGCCGGATCTGAACCCTCACGGTCAGTCCACACACGCCTGACACCACGTCCCTTCTTGTTAACAACACCCCCCCCCATACACCTGAGACTGTCCACCTCGTTGACATCCCCCACATCTCTGGGGCCGTGTCCCCAGGCGCTCGGCACAGTTGGATCTTCACACCCACACGCACTTGGGTCCATGTCCCCACCAATATTCTCCCTCACACACCTGCCACCGCCCCCGCACTCATGGACACCCCCCACATCACCTAAAATTGTTCCTCTTGATGAAACCTCCACACCCAGAGCCATGCACCCCCACCTCTGCCACTGGGCCTACACCCTCTCCACCCATGCCTGAGCCTATGATGCTGAACTCGTGGCCCCCCACTCACACCTGGGCCAGGTTATATCCCCTCACTGATTTTGCTCACATCCAGGTCTGTGCCCCTCTCTTTTGCCTCCTCCCTTCAGCCACTTGGGTCAGGGCCCTCAGGTACTCTCCCCCACCCCTGCACCTGCCCTGTGCCTTTCCAGGCCCTCTTTCCATCACACATCCCCGGTCTGTCCCCCACCCGTACTTTCTTACATGTGCCCCTATATTTGTGCCTCTCTGTAATCCTTGAATCGCACCCCCCCCACCCAGGTCCCCCAACATTCACCCGAGCCTAGCTATCTCAGGATAACTGCACCCTCCCCCACCCAAAAGAAAAGCCCACCCAGATGTTATCTTTTCGTTTATGGCAGTCTGTAAAGTGATTTCCAGGCTTACAATAATCCCTTTGGCCAGGCGAAACCAGAATTCTCTCCATTTTACCAGCAACAAACCTAAAGAGACTTGAACTGGGGAGGCAGAGCCCATCCCTCGCTGAGCATTGCTGACCCTTCTCTGTAGACCTTCCCCATTTTTGCCCATCTGTTGTGCTTATTTCTGAGGGACTGGCAGGGGAGGGGACCCCCTCCTTCCCTGCAGCTGTTCCTCAGGAGTCATGACGTTGAGTCCGGAAAGACTGAGCTGTAAGGGGCGGCCTCTGAACGTTGCTGTAGCACGTGTCTCTGTGTCCTGGGGCTGGGTGGGGGCGGGGACACTGCAGGAGCGGGACTTCAACACCTTGGGTGCCTCCAGCGGCACCCAAGGGTGGTGTCAGCTTCCAGCCTCTCGCCCCAGCTCTTGCAGACCGAAGCCCCTTGCTGACCCTCAAGAACTCCTGGGGCTCTTAAAGCCGATAAACCTAGAGAGTAAGGAAACACTCTACAGAGTGAGGAGAGCTAATGTTAAAGCCACCTAGAGCCAAACTGTAAAACTGGAGCCTGGTGAGGTGCTGGGAATAATGATTTTTCTGGAACTTTAGAAGTTCCCTGGAGTATGATTTGCAAGTGTGCAGCATAGAAGACGGTAGCTTTGTTGTGGAAAAGTAATAACGTGGTGCGGTTTCCTGCAAGGTTTGCATAGCACCTCTTACCCCCCTCTGTCTCTCCCGCCAGAATGTGCCAGAGGGTCATATCACCTTCGCCTTCTCCTGTAGAAACGAAAGCCAGTGGGGTTTTCTGTCCACATTCAAAAGGCATCATTTAAAGTGGGTGTGTTTATGTGTGTGCATGTGTATGTACATGTAGATGTATACACATACACGTTCATATGTACATGTGGTCACGTTTTATATACTACAAATGTATACACGTTACATATATACACATATACAAATATATAAACTTTGATAAGGTAATCGATGTACCTGGTTAAAAAAAAAAAGTACAAAAGGACATACAGTGAAAACCAAGCAGGTTTGTCTGCACCGGGTACCCTTCTGGAAGCATCCATTGTTAACTTGCCCCGTTTCCTTCCAGAGATAGTCTATGGCTTGGGGGGAGGGGATGTATATCCCCCACCTCTTTTAAACCCCTGATAAATTTACATGAGATTTTTATCAAATGGGTGTGCCAGAGTTATAGCCAGTCCCTTACCGACGACTGTTGAAGTTGTCACTCATATTTTCTCCTACAAACTGAGCTGAAATGAATAGATGGACCCATGCATGAGCAAATATGCAATGAACGTGTGTGGGGCTCGAGCCCAGACACTTCTGAAACCTCCTGGTCTTCGGGGAGTTTCCTAGGAGTGGCCAGGCCAAAGGGCATGTCCATTGAAATGGTTAATGTTCCTCCAGAGAGTTTGTGCTGCCATCAGTTTTCTCTCAGCTGTGAAACTGGATTGCTTAATTCCTCTCCCAGCAGCCAGAACAGTTACTATCAAGTGTCCTGGTTTCTCCAATCTGATAGGTAAAGCTCAGCCCGAGAGATCTTTCGAACACCACTTCTGGGCTTTCTATTCAACTCTTGGGTGTTCTGGCCTGTGCAGTGGTGATTAAACATTGTATCTGTTTCTTTTCCCCAGTTGGACTAAAGTTCAGTCCAAGGAATATTTGAGTCCCTCCTCTGTGGAGCTCTGGAGGAAACCTCGGGTTTGGGGGGCGGGGGCGTTCCTTGCAAGAGAGAGACATGGGCATTGGCCATAGTCCTGGGAGGGGAGGTTTAAAATGTTGGCTGTTACTAAGTTTTTGTTTTTCCACTTGGATCCGGCAAAAGAACTTGACTGTCAGTTGAGATTGAGATAAGTCAGATGTTAAATCTTTTGGGGAGGTTGTCCGCTATTTCCCACTACTGGCGCCAGGTGGAGGGCATCATCAGACTGAGGTCAGGCCTTTTCCCACCTGTCATCCTGTTTTTGTTCTTCTGTTTTGTCAGTTAGACACTAGAGGAATACTGAGATGATCGGAACTATTCGCTTGATTGGGTTTTGCAAACCAGCTCTTTTAAAAATGTGTTATATTCTTTATTTGAAGTGTGAGATACTTCTTAATAAAAAGTTTATAATGTGCACGTGAGAAGAGAGTGTAAAGGATAACAAAGCTAACACTTAGCTGAAGAAGTAGAACATGGCCCCCAGTAGCCCCTCCCTGGTCACTGCGCTATTTTTAAAATATGCTTGTCAGCGTTTGTTTTCTTCCCTGAGTACCTTTTGCTGCAGCTGAGTGCTTGGATTCCAGGGTCTCAACAAAGATCAGCAGAAGCCAGGTTTTCTGTCGGAGCTGTGTCAGTAGGGCAGCCTGAGAGGTCCAGGGAGGGGAGGAGTGACCTCAGGGTCATGGGCAGGTCACCAGCCAGTACCAGGAGTGTTGTCTTAGACTCCAGTCATGTTAGTGTCCTGGGGCTGCTGTAACAAGGCGTTAGCAGGAGCTAAAGATGGAATGTTTCTGTCTCCTTAAAATTCATATGTTGAAAGCTAATCCCCAACATGATGGCATTAGGAGGTGGAGCCTTGGGGAGGTGATTAGGTCATGAAGATGGAGGCCTCCTGAATGGGATTAATGCCCTTATAAAAGAGGCCCTCACCCCTTCTGCTTTGTGAGGCACAGCAAGAAGACATCTGTGGACCAGGGAGAGGGCTCTCACCAGACACCCAGTCTGCTGGCGCCTTGATCATGGACTTCCCAGCCTCCAGAACTGTGAGACATACGTTTCTGTTGTCTAGATGCCACCCAGTCTACAGTCTTCTGTCACTGGCCAAAACAGACTAAGACTGCAGGGTCATTTCCTACTGGGGGATCTGAGGGAGAATCTTACCAGGCCTGTCTCCTGGTTTGGTGGCTATTGGCAGTCCTTGGGGTTTTGGCTTGCAGCCACATCATCCCATTCTCTGCCTCCATCTTCACACCCACGTTCTTCCCCGTGTGTTTTTCTTCTTACAAGGGCACCTGTCATGGGATTTAGGGCCCATCATAAATTCAGTATGATCTCATCTCAATATCCTTAACTCATTTCATCTGCAGAGACCCTGTTTCCAAATATGGTGACCTTCTGAGGTTCTGGATGGCCATGAACTTTGGCAGGGGACACCATTTAACCCCTCCAGCTGCGAAGCCAGAAATTCTGCCAGGATGTTATTCAAAGAAGTGCTTGTCTAGCTGCCTCTGCGGTTTCAGGCAAAACAGGGCTGGTAGGGTTGGAGCGTGCAGCCCCTCATTCACCTGCCTTCCTACTGGAAGGCGGAGGCATCTGCCCAGAGCTAGCAAAGACCTGGGCAAGTGAATGTATATGTATGTTTTGCTCTTTGCCAGCCGCTTGGCATGTGCTTACCGGACTGTGAGCTTGGCCCTGGATCATCCCAGTTTATAGAAGGGTCACCAAGGGGAGAAGATAAGGGGAGCCAAGATGGACATAGGTCAGCCAGAATCCAGACACCTGTCCCTTAAGCAAGTCACCGGTGGCACTCATGCTTTCTGCCACTGCTAGACATGGGCGTCTGTAAGCCACACCGAAACGCCACCATGGTGCCTGGAGCCTGGGTGACCATACCGTTCTTCTACAGTCTGTAAATACCTGTGGGACAGGGACAGGTGCAGAGGAGGCAGAAACACTGGGGCTCAGAAGGGTAGGGGACTCAGATGTGGATCAGTTCGCACCATGTGATTGGGGCTCTGGAATTGATGAGTTCTAGCAGAGGACTGGGATGCTAACTCCGGGAGGGGAAGGTTCTTAGAGATCTGAAAGCCAGCAGGGAGTTAACTAGATGGCAAAGCATTGTAAGCAAAGGGAACAAGAAAGCCTGGGTATTTTGAGGCCCAAGGCACTGAGCTTGAGAGGAAATTGAGGGACCTGGTCCATGGAGCCCATGACAGGCACAGGAGGGGATTCACCTTGAGGCTGCTGCCAGCAAGGCATGGTCACCATGCCTGAGCTTAGAGCCCGTAGCAGCCTGTGCTTGCTTCCCCAGCACAGGGGACCAGGACCAGGACAGGAGACACCTTGTGACCAGTTGCAACCAGTTGCAAGCCTTCCCTGATGAAATGTGCCCAGGAAGTGCTCCCGACAGATGTCATCACTGTTATTCCATCTCTAGGTCATGTGCCTTTGCCATGGGATGAGTGGAAAAAGAGAATATATATGTTTCTTTTTTTTTTTAAGGTTTTATTTATTTGTCAGAGAGAGAGAGCACAAGCAGGGGGAGTGGCAGGCAGAGGGAGAAGCGGACTCCCCATTGAGCAGGGAGCTGGATCCTAGGACCCTGGGATCATGACCTGAGGCGAAGGCAGACGCATGACCGACTGAGCCACCCAGGTGTCCCAATATATATGTTTCGATTAAGGATTAACTAGCCATGGTGACCCAAGCCCCACCCAGTCTGCAGTATTTGTCCTCGTCCTAAAGGGCAGGTTCCCAGGCCTCACTGTAGCAGGCCCCAACTTAAGCCTGAGGAGGAGCTCAGGAATTCTGCACAAGTGTCCTGGAGATGCTGGGACAGGTGTTCCTAGAACCCCCTGGTGTAGCACGTCAGAGCTGGAGGAAGATGCTGTAGCTGGAGGAGAGGAGGGAGCAGGGCTGGTGGGCCTGGCTTCCAGCACCATGGGCAGACAGGACCCATTACTGGTCAGGCCTTAGCCAGTGGCTGGTCTAGCCTTGGGCTGGCAAGGGGGCATGTGGGAGCCAGGCCTTGAAGAAGGCATAGGTTTGGAGGCTGTGAGCAGCCCCTTTGGCCTGGAGCGCATGGGTCAAAGCCAAGTGTCGGCTAGCCCTGAATGTCAGAGTGGGAGACATCGTCGCCCGCGGTGCCGGGCAGGGGCACTGGCATTGGCAGGGTGCTTGGCCGGAGCACGTGCTTCCTAAACCGTTGTCATGTGGTGGGCGGCAGGGCACTGCCAGCCGGCTTCTGTTTAACACTTTGGGGAGATGAACCTGGAGAAAGAAGGGGTGGAGGGATGCTGGACACCCAGGACCAATGCTTAGCTCTTTCAGAGGCCCTGGCGTGGGGGATGCAGGCTGAATGGTGAGATCTAGGAACTGGGGAGGCCTGCTCAGTAGGACCAGGTGGTGTGAGATGGGCTCCATCCCAGCTCCGTCTGACTCCTTATTATAAGGCAGAATGATACTTACCCACACCCATGACCCACTTGAGCATTGCCACCCCGGGAATATAGTAACAGATGGAAATGGAGGCCTGGGGAGGTTTAGTAACATGGCCAAGGTCACAAGCTGGACCCCATCTTCCCATAACACCAGCATGGTGTGGCTGGGAGCCTGTACATGCTCCTACTTGAGGAATTAGGCAGACAGGATAGAAGAAGTACATTTTTGCTGCCACGGGAAGGGTGCCCGAAGGGCCGAAAGACAGATGGCAAAAGCCCCTCTTGGCAGGTATATGCCTCTGACTGCTTGCTAAGCAAGGACCCTGAGCATAGCGCAGGCCATTGCCTTCCACAGAACCCCCCAGCCCAGCAGGGGAAGCCAGTGGAAAGTGGCCCCGTCTCGTGCAGCAGGGAACCATAGAGTGCTCAATATAGGGCAGAGCAACTAAGTTTTGGGAGGCGAGGCCAGGACATTTAGGAAGGGCTTTGAAGAATGCGGAGGAGTTTGCCAGGCACAGGGTGGAGAGACTACAGCCAAAGCAAAACTTGATATGTCCAAAAAATTAATTACCTCATCCAGCAAATAACTGAGTAGATACAAGCACTGTGCTAGGCTCCCCGTGGCAAAAACACAGGACTTTTGGGGTGAGGGTTTTACACAAGTGCATCCTCTTATCAGAGGGCCGTGAGTAGTGTTGAGGGCCTTGGTTTGTTGTAGGTCACGCAAGTGCAGTTGGTAACAGGTGTCAGCAGCCCTGTGTTGCAAGGACCCAGGGCAGTGATTGACAGTGGGATATTCTGCATCTTGCAGGACGCGAATGCCTGAGTGTCTGACCCATTGAGACTGCAGCACAGGGTTGCAGAGGCCAGTCGGTCTGAAAGGCCCGAGTAGAAGGGAATGCAACAGGGAGAGCCGCGCCACAGCTGGTCGGGTCTGGGTTAACGGGCACAGCCGTCATGTAAGATGCTACCACTCTCTTAATAGCAGAAGTTAATGCCCATTAACTGGAAAAGAAAACAGCCTTTATCAACAGGCAGATAGGATGTTAATTGGCTTCCGTTTACTGAGAGATTACAGGATCTGTTCCGGCACTGCTTGTAAACTCCATCAACTGAGAAACGCCCCGCCCCCGTTTGTGCAAACATTTCCTTCCTCCCGCAGGGTGGCGCACGCAGCACTCACCAGCAGGAATGGTGGCCCTGGCCAGGGAGCTTCTGAGGGAGTCAGGCACACGTGTGCGTGCGTGCGTGCATGCGTGTGTGTGTGTGTGTGTGTGTGTATCATGATGGATGCACACGGGGAGCTGCTGCAGCGGGGGGGCTCACAGACTGGGCTACTTAAGACCCCAGAACCCCAGGTTCCTGTTTCCTAGGCAATGCTGTTCAGTATGTTATATTGCGGAATTGCCCCCCATCCTGCTTTGCTTTGCTTCGCTTTTTGATGAGTGGAAAGATTGCTTGAACGGAAATATATGAAAAAATGAATTTTTGTTCATTGGGGCTGGTCTGTGACTGCTGCCTGCCGGTGGCATGTGGGGCGGAGGTGGCCCACTGCACTTGATCCCTCGTTCTTAACCCTGCTCCTGGGAAGACTCTGGCACCTGAATCCCGGTTCATGGGTACCTGTTAAAGGTACCTCCAGAGAACATACTGGGGCTGGGCCCACTGCGGCCGTTGTCCATGGTTGGAAATGCAGCACAGGGCTTGGAAGAGTGTACGGGAAACACATGGGTCAGGGCTCTGGGGGAGGTGCAGGGGACAGAAACCCATCTCAAATTGGCTGAACTGGAA